TTTGCTCCTGCTTTGCTTGATCATCTGCTGTTATGTGAAATCATATTTCCTGTCAAAAGTATAACAAAGCTTCCCTTTTCTCTACAGGATACAAATTAGCAACCTGGTACATCAAATTACCCAGCTGTAATTCACTGTTTCAGTCCAGGAGAGTAGCCACATGTTCTTGTGCCACCCGAGAAAACTACCTTGAAGCATGAGTTATGCCCTTGGCCAGCTTCATTAGCCAGTAGGGGTACATGTATACACACATACACACACACACACACACCCCAAAACTGCCAGACTCCTCACATGCAACATGATTTCATTCCTTTAAATGACCTCACAAAAGGCAAAAATCAAGTCTGATCATTGTCAATCTTTCATCAGACGCTGGCTGTCAGATTTCCCTCAGAATAAGGCACCTACAACCAAGCTTTCCAAAGCAAGGTATGACTGGTGACCTTGGTAGGCTAAACAATGCCCAGGTCCTGGTCACTGAACCTGAGAATGCCACCTAATTTAGCAAAAGGGGCTTTGCAGAAGCAATGAAGAATTTGGAGGTGGGGAGGTTAACCTGGTGACCCTAAAGGTAAGCACACGTGTGCTCACAAGAGACTTGACTGCAATGAAGGAGAAGGTGATGGTCCCACAGGAGCCAATGAATGCCAGCAGCCTCTAGAAGTGGAACAGGATCCTCCACAGCAGATCCCAGAAGGAACAGTCCTGCTAATGCCTTGATTTTAGCCCTTTCATATTCATTTTGGACTTGTGCCCTCTAAAACTATCAGAAGCGTGCACTCTTGTTGTTGCTAAAGTTGTGGTGCTTTGTTAGAGTGGACACAGGAAATTAATACTGTAACTGAGCCACACCACAATAGTGAACAAAATGCTTGAAAAACTGAAGAAAGGATGAATAGTCATTTCCAAGTACACAGTAGAGAAGGAGGGCATTCAATTCTGAGAGAATTCCTTAAGTGAAAGAATCCTGAGCAATCTCATTGTCTTATGGGTGTGTACGTGTGTGTGTGTGTGTGTGTAGGGGGGTGCATACATACATACATCTTTCTGCTCCGTTTCTGTAGGGTAGAGGTGGAATCAGTACCCCAAAACACATGTCTTATCAGCCCAACGAGGCTGCAAACTCACTGGCGAGAAACAGTTTTCCGTATTTTTGTGTCCTTCTCCCCAGCAACATATTCTCCTACATATGTACCACTTATCTGGATCCACACCACTGGATACAGTACCTCGTAAACAGCTGACACGAAAGTCATTACTATGAATTGGAATACCTATTAATCAAGAAAGGAACTTTTCTATTTAGTGAAAACCAGATACTTGAATTAACTGAGTAGAAGTCCTAGATAATTAGGAACCACAACACTGGGGAAATAGTCTTGTTGTTGCAATTCCTTCTAACCAACACTCTCTCCTGTAGGATGAAGTAAGCAAGTCAGGGAGGTGAGCTGCAACATAAATCAGCCAACTGTCACCCAAGTTTCTTTCTTTAATAGGACAAAACTTTAGAGATAAACCACTCAGATTACTACAAAGAAACATTTTAAATGAGCTCATTAAATGCAAATTAAAACAGAAACATTGAATAAGCACTGGGCTACAATTAAAGGCTGAAGAAACAGCAGGTAAGAAACAATTTCCATTGATCAAAGAACTGAAAGCTAACAGAGTAAAGTATTTTGCACTGAAACTGCTTTCATGAATATTAATCATTTTGAAGTAAGGGGAACTTTTCCTTTTTTGCATTTTTTAAGGAAATTTTGGAGGTAGGAATAAATTTGCATATCTTAATAAAGTAGTGTCACTGTATCATTTTCAAGCAATGAAGCCATGAAATTCATAAGAAGTAAAAAGCACAGACTTCTAAACAATCCTCAGAAGCAGGCTAAAAATTGTAAAGGCCATATGGTCATCATCTTAGAACTTGGGACCCAAAGAAGAATTGCATATAATTACATGAAATCTTCCGTGTAAAGTTTGGTAAAACCTATTTTTTGGCACAATTGGACCTCATGACTTAAGAGTCATTTTTTATGTAAAATTATTAAAAGGCAATGGCAAGTAGCAGTACACAGGACATTCAACTAGAAATATAAATTCTGAGACTTTAAAATTTACTATAAGTGTGCAAGCTTTAAAAAAATATTTATGGGCAAATAGTTAGACTGCACATTCTCGAGGGCAGGGCACTTTTATGTTTCATACACTGTACCAGACACAAATAAGTGCTCAATTACTGGGTCTGCTTTTGTGAAACGAAGGCATTATAATACGAGGAGTGGCCTTTTTTTCTTTGTAAATTCATTTTAAAAATTAAAATACATACTGCTTTTCATCTATCAGGAAGACAAAGTGAAAAGTATGTGATGGCTCACAGTGGGCAAATAGGTGCTGCTATGAACCCTGCCAGAGAGGGGGCCAGCAAGGACAGCGGAGCAGCTGTGCACTGAAGGGCCTGGGTGAGAGGGAGGTGGGTGGCAGGGGAAATGCAGTCAGGGACTGCTGCTGCCAGCTGAGACACTCCTGGAAAGGACGTCTTTCGGTAATTTTCAGCCTAAGAGGAGCAGACCAGCTCCTTGCTACCTTGCTGTGATAGTAGAGGGCTTAGACAGGAGTGTAAAATAGGGCAAGTTATTTCAGAGCAATTTGGAAAAATCTAGCAAACTTCAAAATCATTCAGAAATCGTACTAAGATTTTTACTTTATGCTTACCTATGTAAGTGGAAAAATATGGCCACAAAATATAGCTGATTGGAGAGTATGCACATAACTATTGTAGCCTATAATTAAAAGACTAAGCAGGAATTACTGTGGGGGTAGATCTGTATATGCAGACATGTAAGTTCTTTGAGATGTTAAGTTGAACAAGGTATAGAAGAGACTGTGTTCTCACTATTGGATTTGTTATCAATCAAAAATCTTTCAAAAGTGTAAGACACTGAATTTTAACATCAGTACTGAAAACGTTACAACCACGTAAACATTTATTATTTAAACAACTAAATCCAGTTCTACAGGACATTTAGGGTATCTCACAAATATCACCATTAAGTTTCATTTTAAATACAAAGGTCCTTTGAAGAAGGTAGGAATATATTACTAATAGAAGTAGTCAAATTACATTCTAATTTGAACGTTCTTAAACTTTTCCAATACGTCTCATATATTCTTGAAGTCCTTCTCCATACTGCTCACAAAGGCACAATTTTTTCACCAACTTCAATTGAATTACGTTTCTGTAGCTGTCTGGGTCAGGTCATTTACCATATCAATCATAACGTGAGGGGGAAATGTAAGCACTTTTGAAACAGTCCACGCCAAGATGGGAAAGTTAAAGGAAAGTAATTTTATTGGATTGGGGTAACAATTTGTCCCCTTGCTCCTACCTTTCCAGGAACCTATCTTTTTCTTCTCCCTCAAAAGTAAGGCAGAATTTAAATAAAGTGGCAGAGTATGATTTGCATTAAGGAGGGTGTAGCAGTTTCGGAGGACATAGGTATTAAAGGGGAAGCTCCGAGAATCACTGCTACCGTTATCTTAAGAAAATCTCCCAATACATAAATGTTTTGCTCTCCAACTGATCAGTGAGTAAAGATTATGATGTATTTCATGGCTCCAAAGGGTAGTCCCGAAAACGAAATCCATCATGCCAGGGCTTCCTTTTGGTTGCTTTTACCTACCTTTAACACTGTTCAATACACCCAACTTCAAAACCGGCATTTCTGATTTTTCTTGAAATGTACACACTGACAGAATTAGTTAATGCATCTAAGGGAATAAAACAACTTACTGTACGTGGCGCAGATGGTTTGTATAGGTAATGCAGGTTTCTTAGGGGGACTGTGGACTTTATCATTTATGTTGCAAGGCACACTTGCACCATGTTAAACAACAGCTGTCATGGAAGAAAGAACTGTTTGTAAACCACCTCAGATTCTCCACGCAACCTAAGTGTTTTGTCCGTGACACTTGCCAAGAATAACCACGACTCTTACTAAACCTTCCAAAGCTAACCCAGAGCAATGAAACCCTTTAAATAGCCCTGGATGGCCCCTGAAGTGACCTTCGACCTCGCCACCCCGAGAGGCGCTGGCTAATCTACACCTGGCAGTGTGGAGCCACGACCCTAACAGCCACTTCCGAAGTTTCATTCACAAAGCCGCACCTACGTCATTTCTGTGGGTTTTTTTCCTTACTTCATTCTTTTTTCTTTTCTTTTTTTTTTTTTTTTTTTTTTTTTTTTTTGCGAAAGGCAGACTTAGTCTCTGCGCTATTCACACTCGGGCGTTCACCTCAGAAGTTCGACGCCAAAGATCCGAGGGAGCAGGAAGGCCAGCTCCACCCGGGGGCGTCTCCTCGGCTCCCCGCCGGCCTCGCCGGGGCTTCCTCCGCGTCCGCTCCGAGCGGCCGGCGGCCGCCGCGGCCCGCGGGGAGCCACCGCACGGAGCGCCCCGGCCCGGCGGACCCGGCCCGGCCGCCCCGGGGCCATCGGCCGCGCTCGGCGGGCGCCCCGGGCAGGGGGCGGAGGACACGCACGGGTTCCTGGACCCCAGCGAGGCCCTGAGGAACCGAGCCCGGCGGCGCGGGCTGACCACGGCGCGGACACTTTCTCCGCCGCTGACAGCTGTCACCTGCCGGCCCCCGGGCGTCCGGGCTGTCCCGGGCGGCCGGGGCGCGGGGGGCGGCGCAGACAGGCTGTACCTTGCAGGCACCCACGTACCTATCATGGTCACTGGGCAGGAGCACGCTGCTGGGCAGGAAGGGGCCTACGCGCTCCCCGGCTCCCGCCAGCGCCTCCCACGAGTGGCGCTCCGGGGGTGAAATCCTCCAGGCCGCCCCGCCCCTCTCCCCCACGGCGGCAGGCCGTCGCAGTGCGCACGCGCAGGCGGCCCGGGGCCTCCTGGGAGTCGTAGTTTGAGGGCGTGGCTTCTCCTCAGGCCTGCGGCGGCCCGCCGCCCTTTCCGGCAGAAGGCCCAGGAAACGTACGTCACGGCGGGGCGGGGCTTGCGGCCCGCCGTGTTGACGAGTCGCCTAGCAACGGAGAGGCCCACCTTTGGAAGCTTGTTGCAGCTCTAGCCACGGTCCTGCCCTCTTCCCGCCCCTCGCCTCCCTAAACTCCCTTCACCTAGGAGCTGCCAAACATCGGGATCGACCTGGGCACCACGAGGGGTTGAAATTCTACCATTTACGCGCCTTTCCACATTGTTCCCGACCTCCTGCTCACAGCCGTAAAACCCACTGACTGTTTGACTACACTTTTGTAGGAGAACAAGACACTTTCTAGGAAGATGGTGGCAGAAAAAGAGACCCTGAGCTTAAGCAAATGCCCAGACAAGATGCCGAAGAGGACCAAGCTGCTGGCGCAACAGCCGCTCCCGGTGCACCAGCCTCACGCCCTGGTGTCTGAGGGCTTCACGGTCAAAGCCATGATGAAAAACTCAGTCGTAAGTGCCCTTCGCTCGCTCCGAGGCCGGGGACGCGAGAGGTAGAGGCTGGTGGCCTGGGATGGGCCTGGGATGGCCCAGGTCAGGCCAGGTGCCGAGGCTCCCGGGCCAGGGATGGCGTGCGCCCACGGGTGAGCATCTGCCCAGGCCCTCGTGGCTGCTGGGCCAGGCCAGAGTATGTCCTGAGCTGGTGACACGAAGCAAAGCACCCCTGCCCCTACCCATCCAAACCAGCCCCGCTCCGCCGAGGGCCCTTAGAAATCGTCAAATTGCGGCTGCTGACAGGCGCTGACAGACAGCTGGGAACAGAAACCCATCCAGTGAGCCACACTAGGACGCCTCTGTTTAACCTCGACTCCTTAGAGAACCCTAGCATTTACTCCATCAGCGTTCTTACAAAGTGGTTAACCTTACAAAATGGGAAACTGTCCCTCATAGGCCTTTTAAAGATCTTTGAAACAATCTAAGCTTTAGTTCAGGTGTCTCTGCCTTTTAATACCATTCACATTGCTATAGTTTGCGGTAATAAAAAAATTATATTCTCAATACTATTAAGAAAAAATATTTACAATACGCACCAGGTTATTTTGAAAAACCTTCTTATTTGTTACATAGTTTTTAATTTGCTACCCTAAGTCAGGTTTTGCTGAGAAAACAGGTAGCCACGAATAATCAAATAGTAAGTGCAGGATTCAAATCTATGAAATTCACCCGCTGGGAGGATCTGGTGCATTATCCGCTAAGTCGTCTGTTAAATGAAGAGTGGTGCTGTCCTGTCGCATTATTTGTTTTACCTCTTTGTTGCAAATGTCGTGCCATCTTCCTAAACCAGCTCCTTAAAGTACATGAATGGACCTGAATAGCGGGGGACCTTCAGGCCAGGTTGCCATGCTGCTGTGCAAACTGATGTTCGCACTTCAGGAATGTGTGTCAGGTGAACGCAGTTCGAGTTAGTCAGAATTCCTGGAAATGGGCTGAAGGTCCTGCTTGGAGTAACTACACTCACTAGAATGGGTTCTCAGGACGGTCAAGGTGGCTCATGTGTCAGCAGTGCACAACCTCATAGCCATTCAGGTGTGTCATTCCGCTTTTCTTCTACACAGTATTATTTTTATTATTGTAATTTGGGAGTTTTTTTAAACATCACAAATGTGTAAGGACATTTTTTTCTAAACATGTGTTCATACATTCTTATATCATGTCAATTCATTAGCATAGCCTCACACCTAAAGTCAGAGTTGTACAAAATCAAGCATTTCAGTTTTGCCAAACATGATAAATGTGTCTCAGGACTAAAAAAAGAGGATAAGGCTGTTGTTCATATAAATAAGTTATTTGAGATAAATTATCTACTTCCTTTTTCATATTTTAAAGGGAAAATCTTTTAGTTACTGGTAATACTTATCTTTCCATTGGGATCATCAAAACAGGACCAGCCCTTTATTTTTTTACTTTATTTATCATAGGTCATGATTCTTATATGCAAACATAATTTATCCATTTATTCAGTCAATAGCCATTTTTTAAGCACTCACTATTTATTAAGCACAGTCTGGAGTCCTCATCCTCAATACTCCAACAAAACCAACAATAAAGTCTTCATAAAAGAAAGACAATACTATTGATACCCAATAAATTCAGTGGGACAAGAAATGAAAAATGTCACTTTCATATCCAATATATACAACTCACCATTTTTGTCTTCAGCAGTGTAGGCTTTTCAGCATTACAAAGGAAAATATTCCTATTTCTTTCTGAAGGCTTATTTCTGTTCAGAAAGTGTGTGCTAATTTCCAGCTTCCTAAATTACAATCCCATGTTCAAGAGCCACCATTTTTCCAGGGAAACTTGACTACCCTCTGTCAAACTGCAGCAAATCAATTAGATAAGGTCCATCCCTATGCTGTGCCACACAAGACGTGTGCACTGTACACTGGGCACAGAGACTTTGGTGTTTCTTTTCAGGGTGCTACCAGTGATGTAACTATTCAAACTTGATCAGAAATAGATTTGCTAAGATAGGATATGCAAACATATATCCTTATTTAACATCATAATCTACACATGAGAATTCAAAATTATTTACCAAATAATGATAAATATAAATGGAAAGATCCCAATGTCAATTGTTGTGTTTCAATAGTAATTCTTTTGTTTCTAAGAAATACTGGTTGCAGTCTGTATTAACATATGCAATCACAAAATCTCTGCAGTCAGAGAACAATACTCAAATTCATCTTATTACATTATTTTCCTATAAAGAGTGATAAGAAACTCAGAATTTGAAGATTTCATAGTTGGTTTTTCTTTTAATGGCCTTATGTGGGATCTGGTGGAGCCCACAACCACAAACCAGAAACCTGTGCTGTGTTGTCTTCATCTCAGTGGACAGTAGATACTTCCTATGCCACTCTGTGCTATGTACCCTATCATAAAGCAAATTAGGATATGGACCCAGGTGTGATGGTAGAGAAGTTCACTTCTTCTTAAACTTTATGCTACAAATTTCCTTTTCCATAGATGCTTTATGCTCAAAGTTGGAGGAAATGGGAAAAGCAGTTCTTTAATGTTACTTCATATACCTAAGGAGTTTTATATTTATCAACTATATTTTCATTCAGTACATGATGATAATAATCAGTATTTATAAATTATTGAGTAGGATATTGATTTGGCTGGTTTAACAGAGACCAAATAACAATAGCTTTACAGAGGTGGAAATTGTTTCTGTCATATATTAAAGTTGAAATTTGTAAGTAATCCCAGGAGGGTGGACAGTTTTCCTCATGAAATGGGTCCGAGGGCAGAACACCCTTCCATGTGCTTGCGTTGTATCATCTGTGATGATGCCTGGGCCAAGGTGGGCTTACCACCCCTAGGAGCAAACACCACCCTCCGGAAAGAGGAAGAGGAAGCAGAGGTTGCCAACCATGAGCGTGACTCAGGGGTCGTACCCCACTTCCACTCATATCCCACTAGCCAGAGTTTAGTAATATGCTGATAATTTAAAGTACTCCCAGCTGTGCACACCTGCCTCATCAGGAAAGGAGTTAACAAAAAACGACTACTCTCCAACATTTACTTCAGGCAGGCAGAGAGAAAATGAGTAAGGGGCGACCTGTAAGAATGAGGCAGGACAAAGTAGACCACAAGCAGCCTCACCGTTGTGAGGGCAGCTCCCAGGAGTTGTGCTTACCTCTCATTCTTGAATCTGTTGCCAAAACTTAGCTTAGTGGCCACAGCTGGTTACAAGACAGGACAATAGTCTCCAAATGGAAGCTCTGTGTCCGGCTCAAACTTGAAGTGTTTTATTACTGTAGAAAAGGGAAGAAGACATCCTGGGGCTTATTTAGAAGTGTCTACCACAAGTACTAAACATGCTGCTGTTGTCAGTGAAAATAGGAGAGGGACATGTTAAATAAGCATAGTATAAATAAATGCATAGCCATGATAAGACTTACTAATATCTAGGCAGTACAGTGGAAGTACTAATGATGAAAAGATCGTGTAACAATAATGTGACGGAGCCCTCATCATCTTTTGTCCATGTTTGGACAGTTTACTGACACTGGTCTCTAGATCCCACCCGCTGATTATTTGACAGGCTCAGTCAATTATCAGATTCTTTATATAGTTCTTTCTTGTACAAAATTCTAGTCCTGGTACCACTCAAGTCTTCTGGAGACCCCAATTCTTAGACAAAGAGATCATGATATTTCCACAGGTCTAGCAAAGTCCTCTGTATTCTGACCCTAGTCTATGCTTTTAATTTTGTTCAGCAGATCTGAAGAAAAAAAAGAAGTGGGGAGGAGGGAACCTTAATCCACTGTTGGTGGGAATGTAAACTGGTACAGTCACTGTGGAGGACAGTATGGAGATAGCTCAGAAATCTGAATGTAGAGCTATCATATGACCCAGCTATCCCACTCCTGGGAATTTATCCAAAGGAAATGAAATCAGCTTATGAAAGAGTTATCTGTACCCCCATGTTCATTTCAGCTCAATTTATAATAGCTAAGATATAGAATCAACCCAGATGTCCATCAACTGAAGACTGGATAGAGAAATTATGGTACATATACACTATGGAATACTACACTGCAGTATGACTTTTTATGAGCCACTCTAAGCAATTCTGGAATCAAGACAAGAGCCCTTTAAAACTCAAATCATGGTGTCCCTCAGCGGGGTCACATGTTAGTCAAAGATCAAGTTCCTTCATTCCTGTAAGGCCCTTTGTGATCAGGCCATACAGGCATTAGACCCTCCTCCCTCACTCTCTCAGAGTCATTAACATTGGCGCCTTTGCTGCTCCTTGAATATACCAGGCAATGCTGCCTCCGTGTTTTTGTTCACCAGGTTCCCTCTACCTGAAATGCATTTTCCCCTCCATATCAGTTCCTCTTGATTACTCTATTGAAAATGTCAGACTCCTTTTAAACTCTTTATCCCTGTTCTAGCTCTCCCATATCCCTTTCCTGTTTTACATTTTACCTCTGGTATTCATTAAGTCGATCTTACGTTTTCTTCCACTAGAGAGTAAACTTTTTTTTTTTTTTTTTGCTAGGCAGAGTTAGACAGTGAGAGAGAGAGAGAGAGTTATAGACAGTGAGAGACAAGGAAGGTTTTCCTTCCATTGGTTCACTCCCCAATGGCCGCTACAGCCGGCGCTGCGCCAATCCGAAGCCAGGAGCCGGGTGCTTCCTCCCGGTCTCCCATGCAGGTGCAGGGACCCAAGCACTTGGGCCATCCTCCGCTGCCCTCCTGGGCCACAGCAGAGAGCTGGACTGGAAGAGGAGCAACCAGGACTGGTACCCGGTGCCCTAACCGGGACTAGGACCCGGTGTGCTGGTGCCGCAGGTGGAGGATTAGGCAAGTGAGCCAGGGCACCAGCCAAGAGTAAACTTCTTGTAGTCAGGGAATGCACTGTTTCACTCACTGCTGTACCTGCCCCAGTTCAGGAAAAATTCCTGCACATAGCCTATGCTATTTTCCTTTTT